TAATAACAGCAGTAGCAGCTATTCTCTGTGACAATGAGCCAAATGCTATGCTGAGAGTTTTCTAGGGCGATTCTTTCATGCATATACCACATATGCCCTCCTTTACTCCGGTAAGGCGATTCCTCCTTATACAGTAAAACCTGCAAAAGCTAGAACCTGTGTAAGGTAGAAACCAGTTAGAGAAGGAAAACTGAAATATTTTCCTGTAAAAGGAGTGATAGGAACATGGTAAGACTGCACCCTGTCAAAGGCAGGAGACTTGGCGAGACCCAGAAACACAAGGCAGTTCGCTGAGCTCCGGCTCCTACAAGTGTCACAGTATTGGTTACCTGTGGCTGCTGTAACAGTCACCACCTGCTTAGTGGCTTAAAACAACACAGATTTATTCTTACAGGTCTGGAGGCCAGATGCCAGGGAAGTGGGCCCTGGACTAAAGTCAAAGTGTCAGAGGACTGGCTCCTTCTGGAGGCTCCCGGAGAGAATTCATTTCTTTGCCTTCTTCAGCTTCTAGAGGCTGCCTGCATTCTAGTGGCCCCCTCCTCCATCCTCAAAGTACATGACTCCGACCTGGCTTTCATCATCACATCCTTCCACTGATAAGGACATTAGGTCCGCTAGGACTATTTCCCCATCCCAGGCTCATTAATTTATCACATCTGCAATGTCCATTTTGCCATATAAGGTAACATTCACAGGTTCTGGAGATTAGGGCATGGGCATATTTGGGGGAGATTATTCATCCTACCAACCAGTTGTCTGTCAGTTTGTTGTACTGTAGTGGCTTGCGTGTTGCTGTGATGCTGGGTGCTGTGCCACTGGTATTTCAAATACCAGCAGGGTCACTCATGATGTACAGGTTTCAGCTGACCTTTCAGTCAAGACAGACTAGGAAAAAAGCCCTGATGATCTACTTCTAAAAAAATGGCTAGTGAAAACATTATGAATAGCAGCAGAACATTGTCTGATATAGTGCTGGAAGATGAGCCCGTCAAGTTGGAAGGCACTCAAAATACAACTGGGGAAGAGCTGGCTCCTTAAAGTAGAGTCGATCTTGATGTGGATGGAGTCAAGCTTTCAGGACCTTCAGTTGCTGATGTAGCATGACTCAAAATGAGAAGAAACAGCTGCGAACACCCATTAATAATGAGAACATGGAATGTACGAAGTATGAATCTAGGAAAATTGGGAGTCATCAAGAATGAAGTGGACCGCACAAAGATCAATATCCTAGGCATTAATGAGCTGAAATGGACTGGTATTGGCCATTTTGATTCAGTCTACTATGCCAGAATGACAAATTCAAGAGGAATGGTGTCACATTCATTGTCCAAAAGAACATTTTAAGATCTATCCTGAACTTCAGCACTGTCAGTGATAGGATAATATCCATACGCCTACAAGGAAGACCAGTTAATAAGACTATTATTCAAATTTACGCACCAACCACTAATGCCAAAGATGAAGAAATAGAAGATTTTTGACATCAAGTTGGAAACAAACAAAAAGGATCGGTAGTTGGAAAATATGGCCTTGGCGATAGAAACGACGCCGGGGATCGTATGGTAGAATTTTGCAAGACCAACAACTTCTTCATTGCAAATACCTTTTTTCAACAACATAAACACAGAAATCGAATCAACTATATCTGTGGAAAGAGATGATGGAGAAGCTCAATATCATCAGTCAGAACAAGGCCAGAGGCTGACTGCGGAACAGACCATTAATTGCTCATATGCAAGTTCAAGTTGAAGCTGAAGAAAATTAGAACAAGTCCATGAGAGCCGAAGTATGGCCTTGAGTGTACCCCACTTGAATTTAGAGACCATCTCAAGAATAGATTTGACACATTGAACACTAATGACTGAAGACTAGAGGAATTGTGAGATGACATCAAGGATATCATACATGAAGAAAGCAAAAGGTCATTAAAAAGACAGAAAAGAAAGAAAGACCAAAAAAAAAAAAAGATGTCAGAAGAGACTCTGCTCTTGAACGTCGACTGGCTACAGCAAACAGAAGAAATGAAGTAAAAGAGCTGAACAAAAGATTTCAAAGAGTGGCTCAAGAAGACAAAGTAAGGTATTATAATGAAATGTGCAAAGACCTAGAGTTAGAAAACCAAAAGGGAGGAATACGTTTGGTGTTTCTGAAGCTAAAAAAACTAAGGAAAAAATTCAAGCCATGAGTTGTAACACTGAAGGATTTAATGGGCAAATATTGAATGACACAGGAAGCATCAAAAGAAGATGAAAGGAATACACAGAGTCACTGTAGCAAAAAGAATTGGTTGATGTTCAGTCATTTCAGGAGGTATCATGTGATCAAGAACCAATGATACTGAAGGAAGAAGTCCAAGCTGCACTGAAGACATTGATGAAAAACAAGGCTCCAGGAATTGACAGAATACCAGTTGAGATGTTTCAACAAACAGATGCAGTGCTGGAAGTGTTTACTCATCTATGCCAAGAAATTTGGAAGACAGCTACCTGGCCAACTGCCTAGAAGAGATCCATATTTGTGCCCATTCCAAAGAAAGGTAATCCAACAGAATGAGTCACTAGGAGTTGGAACCAACTTGATGGCACCTAACAACAATTCATCCTACTGTACCCCTTAAGAAGACCCAAGGAGAAGATCCTAAAACATGTTTCTTGGCCAAATTTAGTATATCTGTTTTTCAGAATGGATATTAAATGGTTAAATGTCCTGTCATACTACTTAAATTATTAATTTAACACCATTTGGATATCAAACAATATAGTTATTTAGAAAGAAATTATTCTTTTCTCATTGTTACATAGCAAAAATAAATTTATTCAAATGTGCATTGTGAATAGCAATCACTGAAGCCGCTTTTGGAGCTGCCTAATAATATGCTTTCCATTTCATCTTGTTCTTTGGAAATTTTTGCATAAATTACATTGAATCTGTTTATGATGCTGTTATTGGAAATTTTATCCCAAGACCCAAGAGTCTCTTTTAACAACTTTAGAACAATTATTTAAAAACATATAATCTCTAAAAAGCATCTTCTCTGTTTGGGATCTGCATATTCTCTGTTACTGGCTGTATTTGCTTTTTAAAGTGATCTTTAAAGGGTCTTGAGCAGAAGAGCGCCCACACAGCAGACCCGGCCACTTCCCTAGAAAGGCTGCTTGTGTGTCGGCCTTGGGCCTGACATCTCGAGCTAGGATTTCGGGAGGGTCCCCACCATTACTTGATAAGAGCGGCTCGCTGTACCTAGACTGTGCGAACACTGGGGTTGATGCTGAACACCTGCTTTCCTCCTGGGAGTCTAGAATCTTGCTGCGAGCCAGGCAGAGGTGCCTACATGACCAGCCCTAATAAAAACCCTGGGCCCTGAGTCTCTAACAGGCCTCCCTGGTGGACAACACTTCACACGTGCTGTCACGCTCGTTGCAGGGGGAATGAAGTGCGTCCCATGTGAGTGCACGGGGAGAGGACCCTGGAAGCTCGTGCCTGGTTTCCCCAGACTTGGCCCCACACGCCTCTTCCCTGTGCTCAGCTTGCTCTGTGTCCTGTCTCTGTAATAAAGCTCGGCTGTGAGTACAATACGTGCTGAGTCCTGTCAGTCCTTCTGTCGAATCACCAAACTTGGGAGTGGTCTTGGGGACCCCAACAGGCTTGTTTTCAATGACAACCAGTACTTTAACTGTAAAGCCATATCCCCTGGAATAATTAGCCATTAAATTTCTTTGCTCTTTTGGGTTGTTTTATCTCTGCTATTGAGTGACCTCTGTAGTATTGACTGAGGTTGTTTCAGACTAATGTGTCTTCCCCACACAGTCCTTTGTCCAGAATAAATTGAGACAGGACTGCAGTATATAAGAGAATATAGATATCTCAGTCATCCAGGGCTGCTCTAACAGGGATACCACAAGTGGATGGTTTTAACAAAGAGAAATTTATTCTCTTCACAGTCCAGTAGGCTACAAGTCCTAATTCAGGGCATCGGCTCCAGGAAAAGGCTCTTTCTCTCTGTTGGCTCTGGAGGAAGGTCCTTGTCATCAGTCTTTCCTTGGTCTGGGAGCATCTCAGCGCAGGAACCTCAGGTCCAAAGGACGTGCTCTGCTCTTGGCACTGCTTTCTTGGTGGTATGAGGTTCCCATGTGTCTGCTCGCTTCTCTCTTTTATATCTCAAAAGAGATTGGATTAAGACACTGTCTAATCCTGTAGGTGTCATCAGTATAACCTCATCATAGTGACAGTTTACAACACATAAGGAAATCACATCAGATTACACAGTCATACAATACTGGGAATCATGACCCAGTCAAGCCAACAGACATTTTTGTGGGACACAATTCAATCCATGACAATAGGTGACTCCTTTTTCTGAGGAAACTATTTGGTAGAGGGGATGTGTGATCAAATAAGAGGTTGGTTAAGTGATCGGTCAGGTGCCTTCTAACCTGGAGGTGGAAGTGGTGCTTCCCACACTTAAATTCTTGTTAAAATGCTGGTTTGGGTGCATTTGGTCTGCAGCAGAGCTGAGCATGCATTTCTCACTGGCCCAGTAGGCCGGGCTGCTGGCCGCAGACCACATCTCAGGGTCAGGGCCCCGAGGTCTCTCTGCCGCTAGAGCCCCGTGCTTCTCAGATCAGGTAGCGTTTAGCTGATGGAGAGACACATTGGAGCAGGACGTGGATCCCGGGAAGGTCTCCTACTTTGAAGTGCAATTCCTCAGTGCGACTTTTGGGTTTATTGTATCTAGGTCCTGCCTTTTCTTTACTTTGACATGCATATGGCAACTTGAGACGCTTTCAGCAATGGTGTTTGTTGTGAATAATCTTTTTATGTATTTGGTGAATGTATTCATGATAGGTTAGACCAGTAAGCAGTAGAAACATAGGATCTTTAATAACGAGCTATTTCTTTTTCTTCCTTAGGGCAGTATTTCAAGGAAAACATGGCAGCATCGCGTATTTCCTGAGAAATGGTTCCACTGGCATAATTCAACATGCTCCTGATCTTGGAGACGCGGCAACATGCATAGAACAGGGGAGACGGGGCGGCGTCGGACTCGGAGCGTGGAGGTCGCCCGGGGGCGCGCGGGATACGGCTTCACCCTCTCTGGCCAGGCGCCCTGCGTGCTCAGCTGTGTCATGAGGGGCAGTCCAGCCGACTTTGTTGGCCTGCGTGCCGGAGACCAGATACTCGCCGTCAACGAGATCAACGTGAAGAAGGCTTCTCATGAAGATGTGGTGAAGCTAATAGGGAAATGTTCCGGTGTCCTGCACATGGTGATTGGTGAGGGCGTCGGCCACCTGGAGTCCTGCTCCAGTGACGAAGAGGTCGGGTTTTATGAAGGAAAGGGCTGGTTGAAGCCCAAGCTTGATTCTAAAGCGTTAGGTATAAACAGGGCAGAGAGAGTTGTTGAAGAAGTGCAGTCTGGGGGGATTTTCAGCATGATTTTTGAGAATCCTGGTCTTTGTGCAAGCCCCTCAGAGCCCTTGAAGTCCAAACAAAGGTCCCTTTCAGAGTCGGCTGCTGTGCGATTGGGCGCCGGGCATGAAGCTATCAATAATCCCAACCCCAACATGCTTTCCAAGGAGGAAATAGCGAAGGTGATGAATGATGATTCGGTTTTCAGCATTGGACTAGAAAATCATGACGATTTTGGATTAGATGCAAGTATTTTGAACGTTGCCATGGTCGTGGGCTACTTAGGTTCCATCGAGCTGCCCTCCACCAGCTCCAACCTGGAGTACGACAGCTTGCAGGCCATCCGAGGCTGCATGCGGCGCTTGCGGGCGGAGCAGAAGATCCACTCGCTGGTGACCATGAAGATCATGCACGACTGTGTGCAGCTGTGCACCGACAAGGCTGGCGTGGTAGCGGAGTACCCTGCCGAGAAGCTGGCCTTCAGCGCCCTGTGCCCTGACGACAGGCGGTTCTTTGGACTCGTGACCATGCAGACCAATGACGACGGAAGCCTGGCGCAGGACGAGGAAGGGGTCTTGCGGACTTCCTGCCATGTGTTTATGGTGGACCCCGACCTGTTCAACCACAAGATCCACCAGGGCATCGCACGGCGGTTTGGGTTTGAGTGCACTGCAGACCCTGACACCAATGGCTGCTTAGAGTTCCCAGCCTCCTCTCTCCCTGTCCTTCAGTTCATCTCCGTCCTGTACAGAGACATGGGTGAGCTGATCGAAGGCATGCGGGCCCGGGCCTTCCTGGATGGCGATGCGGACGCCCACCAGAACAACAGCACCAGCAGCAACAGCGACAGTGGCATCGGGAACTTCAACCAGGAAGAGAAGAGTGCCCGTGTCCTGGTGGTCGACCTGGGTGGGAGCTCCAGCAAGCACGCCCCCAGCAACGGCGCAGGCTGGGAAGGTGCGGGGGGGAGGGGCCCCCACCTCTGGACCCCCCCCTGGAACGGCGCCTTCTGCCACGATCAGGAGGGGAGTGCCCCCTTCGAGGGCCCTCCGCAGACCGACAGGTTCAGAGACTTACATAAGCATCTGGGACCAGGGCCCCACGTGGAGCTGCCGCCCGCTGCTCTGCGGAGCTCCATCCCCCCTTCCAAGCGGAGCACCGTGGGGGCTGGCTGCGGCCTCCACCAGCGGTGGCTCCCGGTCCACGTCCTCCAGGAGTGGCAGTGTGGCCATGCCAGTGATCAGGACTCCTACACCGACTCCACCGACGGGTGGTCCAGCATCAACTGCAGCACGCTGCCCCCGCCCATGAGTAAGATCCCAGCCGACCGCTACAGGGTGGAGGGCAGCTTCGTGCAGCCCTCGCTGAGTGCCCAGAAGAGTGAGTGGTCCAGGAAGGCGTTTGGGGTGCCAAACATTTTTGGTCCTCATCGAAATGTCAGAAAGACTAAAGAAGACAAAAAGGTAAGCCCGTTATGGGTAGTTAATACAAATGAACTGATTTCCTGACTGCTCAGTTAACGATGAAACCACAGGCCTGGCTTTCTGGGCCCACTCTGCCTGTTTCAGCTGTCACAGCGTGTCTGCTGTGCCTCTGTGCTGCAGGCTCTGTCTTGTCTGGGAGCCCCCAGCCCTGGCCCCGGCCCCGACCTTTCTCTAGGCCGGTCCCGGCAGGGCAGCTGGGCAGGGCAGGTGGTGCAAGGAGGGTGGGCCCTTCCCAGCGGAGTAAGGCTTCCTCCCTCCTTCCGCCCTTCTCTTCTGACAGAGGCTGGCATAGGCTCTGACCCCGCAGCCCCTTAGAAGCCCAGTTCTGTTTGTGACCCCACAGTCTGCACCCTGGTCTCTGAGACATAGTTCCCTTTCTGAGGTGGAGACGTTCTTGAAGCACAGATGGCTACGTGGTTCTGGCTCCCATCAGGACGGGGCTACACCACAGTGTCGATCCTGGAGCTGCTGTCCTCCTTCGAGAAAAGCCTGCCATGAAAAACGCTTAGCACCCAGCCCCATCCATCCAGGCAGACAGTCTCGAAGGTTGGCGGACCACCCTTTGAGCAACAGGGCCCTGAAGACCCTGGGCTGTCGTTCTCCCTGTGGGCCTTTGTCTCCCCGAGCAGCTGGGTCTGGAGCTTGGACAGAACAATGGTTGGGAGTCACCGCTGGTGGAGAGAGGCCGTAGGGCGTTGGGGACTCGGGGCTGTGCCAGGCCTGCTGCTCTGTGTGGAAAGGGGTGGCTTTGTGGTGGGAAGAGGGGCCTGGCACTCAGCTCAGTTTGTTTCATAGAAACTTCTCAGAGGACTTGGATGGTTTTAAAACAGCTTTTCTGTGTTGTTCACATTCCTGTGGATCGCCGTGACATCACGAGAAAAACTTGCGGAAGCCGCTGGACGGTTCGGGGGAGGCTGGCGGAGGGGAGCTGTGGGCAGAGGCTGATATTTGTGTTGGCGATTCCCCACCCCCACTTTCCCTTTTCATTGTAAACATACTGAAGAGGACTGAAAGATGGAGGTGAGGACGCGCTCCCGTAGCCTCACAGCCCAAAACAGCTGCCGCTGATGCTCGAGGGCTCCCAGCCTAGGCTTTTGGGTTTTGAGACGTAGCTGTGATGGTACAGGCTCCCCACAAATCTTAAATGGTCTTTCTACAGGAGTTGTGCACTGTGTGTGCTGCCCACCCTTCGCAGCTGTCTCTGGCGGGTCTGAACCCCAGGCCGGAGTCTCCTTCCGGGGAGGGGGTGCTGGCATCTGTTCCCAGGGAGTGTACCTGCTGGGGGCAGGCCCTCTGCCTCCTCGGGGCTGCCCAGGGAGCAGCTTCCGCCTGTGTTCTCACTGTAGGGTCAGGTGGGGTGGGGTGGTGGTGGTGGTGGAGCCTGGAAAGTCGAGAAAAGGTCATTTGACATCAGGAAGCTCACCATCTCTTTGCATATTTTTATTTAAAAATTGTGTTTTATCCATTGCTGTGTGTAAGCACATCATTCTGTTGATATGAAGAAGCAGTATTTCTGTGGTTCTTACGGATAACGTGCCCCTTCAGCAGGTCTCATTTAAGCTGCAGTGATTTTTAAGCCAAAGAGCATAGTGCTGTTTTAGATGAAATGTGTCATTCTGCTCCTCTGCAAGGCCCGAGACACAGGTGATGTGACAGTCCCCACTTTACAAGAGAATCAAGTGATCCTCGAGGGGTTAAGGGACGTTGCTGAAGTTATCCAGCTGAGAAGGAGCGGAGTCACATTCAAGCTGTGGGTTTCTGTCTTTCTTTCTTTTTTAATTGTGGTGAAAATGTACACAGTAAAACGTGACAGTTAGCAATTTCTACGTGTGCAATTCAGTGACATTGATTCTTCAAGTCGTGCAGCCGTTCTCACTCTCCTTTTCCAAATTATTCCACCACCATGAACGTAAACTCAATGCCCCCAAGCAAAGGCTCTCCCTTCCTCCTCCCTCCCACCCCTGCTAACCTCTAATCGTCTCTGGTTTCCATATATTTGCTTATTTGCTCAGATAGTATTTGTCCCTTTATAGCTGACTGACTTCTCGCATAACATTTCCAAGTTCATCCATTTTGTGGCATGCATTGGGACTTCATTTCTTTTTATGGCTGACTGGTATTCTATTAAGAAGTCCTGGTGGCACAAAGGTTAAGCGCTCAGCTCCTAACCGAAAGGTTGGCAGTTTGAACCTACCCAGTGGCTCGGCAAAAGAAAGGCCTGGTGATCTGCTTCTGTAAAGATTGCAGCCAAGAAAACCCGATAGGGAAGACGTACTCTGTCACATGAGGTCGTTAGGGGTCAGAATCGACTCCATGGCGCGCAGCAACAAGTATTCCATTGTACGTACGGACCCCGTTTCGTTTATCCGTTCATCTGTCGATGGGCATTTCAGCTGTTGCCACCTTTGGGCTGTTGTGAACAGTGCTGCAGTGAACACTCGTGTACGGGTTTCTGTTTGCACTTCTGCCTTCACTTCTGGGTATCTACCTAGGATTGGCATTGCTGGGTCATATGGTGAGTCTATGTTCAACTTTAAAAAATGTATGTTTTCTTGTATTTCAGGTGAAAATCCAACCGTTTCCACACCTAACGTCCAGTGAGATTGGCTATGTTCTTTACGCTGTCAGCATTCCCTTTATTTGTGTTCTAGGTGTTTCACTCCCGTTAACTTACACTCACTGCCCCCCACACTTCTCCTCTCTGCTTTAGAGTAACTGTTGTCTATTTGGTCTCATGTAGATAATTTTTTAGAAAGTACTCAAGGGTGACATTCTTTACTTTTTTCTTTTTTTATTGTACTTTAAGTGGAAGTTTACCAGTTCAAGTTAGTTTCTCATAAAAAATTTATACACACGTTGTTATGTGACCCTAGTTGCTCTCCCTATGCTGTGACAGCACACTCCTCCTTTCCACCCGATTTCCCGTGTCCATTCAACCAGCTCCTGACCCTCTCTGCCTTCTCATCTCTCCTCTGGACAGGAGCTGCCCGTTTAGTCTCATGTATCTACTTGACCTAAGAAGGATACTCTGCACAAGTATCATTTTATGTCTTATAGTCCAGTCTAATCTTTGTCTGAAGAGTTGGCTTTGGGAATGGTTTTACTTTTGGGCTAACAGAGAGTCTGGGGGCCATGTCTTCTGGGGTCCTCCAGTCTCAGACCATTAAATCTGGTCTTTTTACTAGAATTTGAGTTCTGCACCCCACTTTTCTCCTGCTCCATCAGGGACTCTCTGTTGTGTTCCCTGTTAGGGCGGTCATTGGTGGTAGCGAGGCACCATCTAGTTCTTCTGGTCTCAGCCTGATGCAGTCTTTGGTTTATGTGGCCCTTTCTGTCTCTTGGGCTAATACTTTCCTTGTGTCTCTGGTGTTCTTCATTCTCCTTTGCTCCAGGTGAGTTGGGACCAATTGATACATCTTAGATGACCTCTCTCTAGTTTTTAAGACCCCAGACGCTCACCGAAGTGGGATGCAGAACATTTTCTTAATTAACTTTGTTATGCCAATTGACATAGATGTCCCCCTGTAACCATGGTCCCCAGACCCCCACCCCTGCTACTCTGTCCCTCGAAGTGTTTGGTTGTATTCAGGAAACTTCTTAGCTATTGGTTTAGTCCAATTGTGCTGACTTCTCCTGTATTATATGTTGTCCTTCCCTTCACCTAAGATAATTCTTATCTACTATCTAGTTAGTGAATCCTCCTCTCCCTCCCTCCCCACCCTCATAACCATCAAAGAATGTTTTCTTCTGGGTTTAAACCTTTTCTTGAGTTCTTATAATAGTGGTCTTATGCAATATTTGTCCTTTTGCGACTGACTAATTTCACTCAGCGTAATGCCTTCCAGATTCATCCATATTGTGAGATGTTTCACGGATTCATCATTGTTCTTTATAACTGCATAGTATTCCGTTGTGTGAATGTACCATAACTTGTTTATCCATTCGTCTGTTGATGGGCACCTAGGTTGTTTCCATCTTTTTGCTATCGTGAACAGTGCTGCAGTGAACATGGGTGTGCATGTATCTATTCATATGATGGCTCTTATTTCTCTAGGATATATTCCAAGGCGCGGGATAGCTGGATCGTATGGTACTTCTATTTCTAGCTTTTTAAGGAAGCGCCAAATGGATTTCCAAAGTGGATGTACCATTTTACATTCCCACCAACAGTATATAAGTGTTCCAGTCTCTGTACAACCTCTCCAACATTTATTATTTTGTGTTTTTTGGATTGATGCTAGCCTTTTTGGGGTGAGATGGTATCTCATTGTAGTTTTGATTTGCATTTCTCTAATGGCTGATGATCGTGAACATTTCCTCATGTATCTGTGCCACTGCTTGCCTCATTGCACCAACTGATTGGCCTGCGGGTGCCAGTTCCTGCTGGGTCAGGTCTGGCAACTCCTTGCTGCTTCTGAACCATCTCTTCCTCCCCCTGCCTCTCAGTCCGATTCCTCAACTTTGCCTTTGATGTTCAGGGCTCCTAGATTGTCATATATAGTCGATTCACTTGTTTTTTCAGGTCTTTGTTGTAAGAGGGACCACAGGAAGTGTCTGACTACTCCACCATCTTGTCCTGCCTCCCTTGACATTCTTTACTTTTTGAGATAGCTATGTTCAACTATGTTAATAGCTACGTGAATCTGAGAAGCTGGGCTATATGAAGAAGAATGTGGCATCAGATTGGAGGAAGACTCATTAACAACCTTCGTTATGCAGATGACACAACATTGCTTGCTGGAACTGAAGAGGACTTGAAACACTTACTGATGAAGATCAAAAACTACAGCCTTCAGTATGAAATTACACCTCAATTTAAAGAAAACAATAATCCTCACAACTGGACCGGTAAGCAACATCATGATAAATGGAGAAAAGATCAAAGTTGTCAAGGATTTCATTTTACTTGGGTCCACAATAAACACCCATGGAAGCAGCTGTCAAGAAATCAAACGATGCATTGCATTGGGCAAATCTGC